ATATGATATATAATATATATAAATGCATGTGTTGTAAACAGTGTTTATGTATTTTATTTGCATTTTTAAATGATTGATTGACAAATTTCTGACAGTTCTTTAAAATGCAACTTAATACTTACTTTGTGACCTGCATTGGTTATTTAGAAAACTGTTGTGTAAGAGATTTCATTAGATATTGGCAAAATTTAAGTATCACACTTTGAGGGTATTGTGATCTACAGTTGTTACAAATAACCCCTATGAACAGCTGAGAAAAGTAAACAAAATAAATGTTTTTTCCTATTTATTTATAGCATGTGGTAGGCAGCATTTCAAATTTAGTTGCAAAATCATTTGCCTAAATATTTACAGATCATGCTGGAGCTGGCTTCTTGTCTTCTAAATGCTAACATAAATACTCTAAAAAGCAGAAAAAGTATGAATCTTAAATGAATGCAATACCATTGACTGCTGTGACAGGTTTTTTTTAAATCATGCTTCAGGATAACTGCTTGGTTGGTTTTTGCAAAGCTGGAATGTTGCATTATTTTATTTGGGTGTAAGTTATTAAAGCATGAGTTAAATTTGTGAGAAGTCATGTTGGTGGGACTTTTCTCTTCCAGAATAACAAAGGCGTTAATAGATCAGGATGGTCCCAGTTGGAGGGAGAAACTGCCACCAATTCCAGTTGTCCCAGTTGCTGCTCAGCTACACAGGTGGGATGGAGGAAACTTTACTTCAGAAAATAAGCCAAGAAGTACTATAGAGAGCAACAGAGAAGAACAGTTGCCGATGAATTGTACGTATAGTGAATGCAGATATGTATACCAAAAAGGAAAACTGCTTCTCGGCCTTTTGGCTAAGATCAAGTGTAGTATCTGTTCTTACCATTATAATATCTGATATGCCCTCAATTTATATATATTTTATATGTATATATGCCCTCGACTTTATATTAGGATTTTTGGAACTGGGAGTTGGAGCCAGAGCTTGCTCGCTTTTTTTGGACTTGATGATCTTAAAGGTCTTTTCCAACCTAGTTGATTCTGTGATCCTAACTGTAAAATGGAGTAAGATTTAATAATGTCAAAGAAACTGCTTTAGAAAAGATTTACCAGAGACCTTTGTGAAAAACCAAGTTAGGTGAGTGTCATTTACATGATTCGGTTTCATGTGCTTCAGGGAGCCACAAGTATGATTTATTTTTATCTTTTTTTAAGCCAAGTGATGTAGTTTGCAGTATGTAATCTCTGAAGTTACACAAAATAGAAGAAAATACAGCAGAAATACTCATCATCAGTATATTGAGTCCTATCCCAAGTGGTTTCCCTGACTTCATACTACAGTTATAACACAGTTTTACCCACAAAAACCACCACCCAATCACTTAGTAACATAATCAGCTGCATAATCCGTAGTGGTCATTTAATTCTTGGTGAAAGGATTAGTCAGCTCTTCAGAATAGAAAGGGTAGAGGTGTAGATGACAGTAGTTAGTGACATGGGCTATAGAAAAACACTTCTGAGGTTTACTATTTTTTTTTTTTTTTAAATACAATGGATTCTAACTTTGACAGTGGCCAGTAGTCACCTTTCAAAGTTGTTAATTCTGGATTTGTTTACATATAAACACTGTGTGCTTAACTCCTGTAGGACACTTTCTTCCTCCTGATTTTTTTCTATTCATTGCAGTTTACATTTTTCTCCTCCCGTGAATCAGGTGAAGGAACCTTTCTGATTCACTTTTTACTGAAATGGAACATTGTTTTTGCAAAGGCCTTAACTATGTTTTTTTAGTCAACAATTAGCAGGTTCCCCTTTGGGTTTATTGCAATATAAAGAAAGTAGTGTTGAAGATAATATCCCCTTGATTAACAGAGGGGACGCTGCAATGCATAACTACTGGGTTGCTGGCTAAATAAGGAGGAGCGATCAGGTTATCTGTCTGTAATGCATTACTGCAGTAATGCATGTTCTCAGCTAATCTGTGCTTTTGGGCACTGCAAACTTAATTTCTTTAAAATCATCTTTCAGATAGCATTGAATTTATTTGTACCTTATGTAAAACAACAGACAACTTACAAATACATGTGTTTGTGAGAACTGGATGTTTTTCTCAAGAATAAGATGTAGTTCTAGAAACTTGCAGTAGTGTGATTAATAAATGATTTGGATAGTAGTGTGTACTAAGCTTCAGTAATGCTACAGAAAATTGTTTTTCATTGAAGAAGCATGAGGCATGATGCTGTATAACTTAAGCTCAATTAGATTGATAAAAATTTTACTTTACTTTTTAAGTTGTCCAGTGTCAAGTATTTTCAGCACAGTTGCCACTATGTGTTGTTACTGATTCATGACTCTTAGGAATAGGCCGCAATTGGGTTTAATACTTGGATTATTTTAATGAAATAGAAGACTGATACCTTGCACAATTGTTGCTATTAAACATAAATGCTTAGCTTGAAAAGTGCTCTTTGTTGTACTGATTGTACTCTAGGCTTTTTCTGCTGTTAAAGAATGTGACTTGTTGGATTTTTATTTCAATGTATAGCCAACCCTCTTAAACCTTTTAAGTAGTAAGTTTGGATCTATATAACGTTCTGTAATTTTGTAGAGAGAAAATTTGAAGATCCTTGCAGTGAAAGGTATACAGATGAGTGGCCCATGAGAACAGTGGTGGTCGTGTTTAGTCTGTTGCGAAAGTTAACAAAACTGGCCATCAGTGTCTTCATGAAGTGCAGCATTTTGATGCAAAAAATGCCTTAGTCTATTTCAAATAGAGTGGGGCTTTGGTTAGGCTTTGGGTTTAGAAGTACTAAATGAAGACTGTAACCCTTTTCTTCACTGCAGGCTGACCCTAAGGTTGTGGTTGCCTTCTTGGGCCTGTACTAAATCAGTGGGACCTGGCCGTGATAGCTGGTGGCAGAAGTGTGCCAGCATTAATGTTCAGTCAGTAGTTAAAAATTTATCATGAATTTAATTAAAATAGTAAGTAAGTCTTACTGTTGCATGACACTTTTTTTTGCAAGTTGTCTGTTGCTTTTTCTGTTTTACAACTTGAGTTACAATTTAGTTGTGTTTGTTGCATAAGCTTGTTCTGGTTTCTTGTTGTTACTTAATTTTTATCCCGAGCACCCATGTAGTTTTCTGGCATAGGAGACTGCTATATTTTTATGAAAGAACTCACTGAGTTCAGTTTTTGGTTAAAAATAACTGGTTATATCCAGTGTTTAAAACCTGACCCTTGGGAAGGAGTTCATATTCTTTAGAAAGGTACATAAAGTAGATTTTGCCTTTATGATTTACTTAGAACTACGTTACTAATTATTGTTTGCTCACAACAGAGACATGATACTGCAGTCAGGATTAGTTCCACTGCAAACAGCTAAAAGTTGTAGTCTAACCCAGAAACATATGCAAGAAATGATGGGGTGTTTCAAAGGAAAGACAATTATGAAAGAACATAATATTAATAAAAAAACCCCCTTAATTAGATGTTTTGAGGTTCCTCAAAGCATGTTTTATAAATAACTATTAATATTACTGACACATCACTGACCCTTGCTGACGTGATGATTTGTTTGTCATTTGTCAGTTTAGCATAGTAATTGTGATAGATAGTTGCTTGCAGAAAGAACATTAGTTCAAATTTTGGTGTGATAGTGGAGATTCAGAAGGCTTTTAATCTTGCTGATTAAATCTCCACCATTGTAAATAAAACTGGTATCCCAGTGGAGATACATAGTCCCTCTCTACCACGCAGGAAGTGTAGACAGAGTGAGGTGAAAGCATAGAGCTGTCTGTTGCATTCCCATGATTTTCAGCAAAATAGTTAACACTGGTGGATGGGGAAATATGTGTTGTGCCAAATACAGACATGGTAGTTCATGCCTTTCTTGGAGCAGGAGATCTGGGACAGAAATGGTCCACTGCAAACCAATAGGTACTCCAGTTGCCAGGCATTTATTCTTAGTGTGGGTAGATTATTCAGCTACCCTCATGAACTGACCTTCTTATGTAACACTGTGATCCTTTTGTGATGTAGGTGAGGAAGCTGAGGAGAAGTTCAAGACTTTAAAAACTGAAGGGAATGATTTTGTAAAAAAGGGTAAATATGAAGAAGCTGTAAATAAATACAACGAATGCATGAAGTTAAATACCAAGGAATGTGCAGTCTACACTAACAGGTAAAGATCCAAAATATAAACCCACTTCTAAGGATAATAGTTATATTTTCTCACTGGAAATAGAGATTTTGCATCCCTTCAGTCACTGTTGTAAAAAGAGGAATTTTTTTCCCCACTTGATGAGTGGTTCTAACTGATTTTTTTGGTAAACTACATTATTCTCCAAGGGGAGCAAGTAATAATGTCATTGACACATATTTATATAAATAGAGTATGCAATAATAAAAGTTATAATAAGTGTATCATTTTGCACCATTTTTTGATAATACTGGTATGATTTTAGTTAAAAGCTAACGTGCAGTAGCAGTATCTCAGATATGAAGAGTAATAATTCAGAGAAAATACACATTTTTGACAAAACAGAAGTAGGAACATGGCCATACAACAGCTTTATTTTAAAGGTTGACCTAATTCTGCAGCATAATTCTTTACGGTGTAATCTTATCAGCTTTCACAAATTAAGAAGGATTTGATAAGGCCACTATTTGAAGAGGAGACTTCCAAGTAATAATTATGTGCAAAAAGCAGTATTGTTTATTTAATCTAGAACACTTCTATCAGCTACTGTACTGTGTGATATTGTACTGACATAGGCTCTGTGTTTAAAATACTTAAGTGTCTGTCTAACTTGAAGCATTAGTCATACTTGAATTTTGACTTTTATTGCAGGAATTGGCTTTCTCTAAATCTGTCCAGTGATGTCATTACTATTTACTGGGTTTTCTGTACTTTAAAAAATAACACATTGAGAGTGAATTATGAGAAGTATAGTAATGAACGTTTATGAGTCAGATACTGTTGGCACTACAGCACTGTAGAATTCACTTACATTGCAGTGTATTCTGTTTTTCTGTGTTAGAGCTCTCTGTTACTTGAAACTGTGTAAATATGAAGAGGCTAAACAGGATTGTGATCATGTTCTTCAGATAGAAGATTCTAATATTAAAGCTTTTTATAGAAGAGCGCTAGCATACAAAGGATTACAGGTGAGTTAAAAGAACATTGCAGGTTTTCTTAAGCTCTTCTAAACTTGCTTATCCTCTTCAAAGGCAGTCAGGTAGTTACAGTCAATGGGTGAATACAAACATGCAGAAGTATGCAGTGGTGATGATTTGTTACTTTTTAGAGCATTAGGCATACATAAAATTTTATATAAATATTTTTGCAACATAAAAACCTGCATGTTGACTTTATTACAAAAATACTGGAATAAGTGAGGTTTGACTGGAGATTGGTTATGCAAGTTTCAACTCTGTTCTAATGTTCTAATATTCTTTTGGGTATCCCAGTCTATTTTTTCTGTCAAGGTGTTCACTATATCTTTGCTGATGACAAATGGATTCTCTCCAAGTCTGCCTTCAACTGTCTGTCCGTACTGAAATCACAAGCTGTCTTTTGGCATCTGCTCATACTTGAGTGCTTGTCATTATTAAACCAGGGGTTTAATTATCTCAGTTTTCTCTCTCTTCCTTTCCCAAGCACATTTTGAACCTTTCTTAGTAATCTACTTTCTCACTTTGTGAACGGTGTCAGTACTTGACCTTTTTCCACATACGCATTGGTGGTGGTGTCCATACCATGCTCCTCTTACAGTTTTTTGAGTATCCTTTTACTTGATTGTCATAGATGCAGGCTTACATTGCTCATATCTGTTGGGAATGTGATGGCAAATCTTGTGTTCTGTCACTTGAATGATTTCATTCCTTTTGTCCCTGTTGGTTCCCTTTCTTCAGTGATGTTAATTAGCCCCTGCTCTTCATAGTTCTTTCACAGCAATCCTTACCCTACCTGTCAGCACTTACCTGGTATTGAGTTACCAGCTTCTCACTTCTGTTGGCTTATGATGGCAGCTATCATCATCTACTTTGTGTGAAATTTTACAAGTGTCTTTAAACAAGCATCTTACGAGCTTTCTCCCATGCTGTTCTTTACAACTGGAAGTGATCACTCCAAGCATCCACCCGGATTTGGCAGTGTCCATCCAGTGAATACTACCTCTGTTACGTTTAATGCCTTAACAATTACCTGATGGTCTCTCAGCCCTCAAATCACCTGAGGACAACCTGTTTGTGCTTAACATTATACTCGGCCATTCTTATCCCATGTTATAATTCCAAAAGCAAGTTGTAGAAACCACGAGATCTTTTGTTTGTGATAAACTTGTTCCCTTTTTACAGTAGCTATGAAATTTTGAAAGTTTGCTTTAATTTTCAAAGATGGTGAAAAGTCTTAATTTTCTGTAACATCTTGCCTGTAATTATACGAAGCTACCTGGTATTAATCATCTGTAATCACCTTACGCTGTTGAAGTTGATAAAAAATAAAGTATAAATATGAGCAAAGGCAGATAGTGATTCTACTTGTCAGAATAAAAGGAATTACACGGTAGCGAAGAATGTCAAGAATTAGATAACTTATGCTTTTTTGAATATCCTAGGAAAAAAAAAAGCTATTTTTATATTATTGAAGACGTAACATGAAACACACTGCTTATGGATTCCTTCAGAACAGTCTGTGCTGGGGACTCCTAAAATACTCTGTTGTGTTTGGATTTAATGCCTTCATTATTGCTAATTCCAGGGATATGAGTGATTCATAAAGCCACAGAAAGTAACAAAAGTGATTTGAGGTTGACTAATGACTCCATAACGAAAAATTTTAAGAGCTACAAGCATGTAGTTTGGCAAAGACCTGACTATGCTGGGAACCCTTTTTCCTATATAAATATCCAGATATTTAACCACAAAAGCTGCAGTGGAATTTAATGTAGTAAATGAGATTTTTTAATAGATTTACTGAGATGTATTTAAGGGAAGATCATGAAGAAATCATACTTCTGTGATGAATTAGGCCTGTAACACAGGATGCTGGTCTGCATATCCTTATAGTCCAGTTTATAGTCCAGTCTCTTGCTTTGAGTACAACCGTTTTATATGATTTTTGTTGAGAAGTCTGGCAGGCTGCATTTTTAAATCCAGGAGGGTTGGTTGGTTGCTGACCTTTGTGATCATTTCCAGAAGACTATTCCAGAACCTCATTTCTCTGTAGTTGTGAATGCTCATACCTGTAATTCAAATGGTTTAGCTTGATTAGTAGCTGATTACAGCAATCTACTCCCTTTCTGCATTCATTTGCTAAGGCTAAATAATTCTAGTTCTTTTACTCTTCGTTCATGCTGTAGCAGACTTCACTTTGCTTACAGACTTACTGCAGTGTCTCTGCACCGTGAATACTGGCCATCAGTATTGAATAAAATACTCTGTTTAGGAAAGAGAAAATGAGTGACTAGTACACTAGTGCTGTTATTTCAGTTGAGATGCTGAGGAAATACCTCAGCTGGTACCTGAGGATTTTTTCATGATAATATATAGTAACTTGATGATACTGCTCGGGAACAGAAGAAATTTGAGATCCCTCACACAAATTTATGTTGATCTTTTACTGCGTGAATGGTCTTTTACTATTTACATTGCGTCCTTATTTTTGGTACTCCAGCCATCAAGGTGTCTTGAGTTTTCTATGTGATATTCTAATCTTCCACAGAATTGATGCTGTTAACTTTGTCTCTCCAGAAAATTTAGTCTAAACCCCTGTAGTTTCTAATGTTAAAATTTGAAATAAAAACATTAAACACGACAAGACTGTGTCCTAATGCCACTCTATTGCTGTGTTTGTCCTCCTAAACCTGTTTATCTCAGAGTTCATAACATCATCCCAGTCTTCTCAAGTGTTACCAAAAATTTACAGTGTTGCACTGTAAGCAGTTACGTTTAAAAGCAGCAGTCTTCAATAATCTATTCTCTCATACAGGGAATTTCCTCTGAAACTGTAATGAAATTACACTGTCTGTATTTAGATTATTTTTGTCTGCTTAATGTTGAGATTCCAGTGTTTTTATTCCCTTTAATTGTAAAGGAAGTTATGCAAGTTCCCATTTGTTTTTCTAGTGGTGTGCTTACGAAAAGAGTATTTTCCCTTCTGCTTACAGAATTATCAAGCTAGTGTCGATGATTTGAACAGAGTACTTCTGATAGATCCACACGTTCTTGAAGCAAAACAGGAACTAGAGGAGGTAACCCAATTGCTAAACGTTGACAGCAGCGCTGGAGCTGGCAGTCAAGAAAAGCAAAGGAAGAAAATAACCATACAAGAGGTATATGTGTTCATTTTTAAAAGCAGGCAGTATAGAAGCTATGCATTTGAAGAGATAATACTAGATCTTTTGGTTTGCACTTCTTAGCTCTAGCTGTTCTGGGTGTTGGGGTTGTATTTTTCATGTTATTTTGAGCGCCTGTTGGAGGATTCTTGCGTATGTATTGAGTATCATTCCACGGTAATGCTTGCAGTGCTTTGAAGTGTATTCAGAACCACAGCAGTAATGGAGAAAGTACATGTAGAGGCCATGAAACTTGAGGGTATGCTCCTTGTAAACAAAAACTGCTTAGACTTAGAATATCTGTTTTACAGAATGTGACTGGCGAACAGCAGTTGCACTTTTAAACTGTGCTACTTGGGAAGCCCCTGGGGCTGTGCTGGCAGAGGTTCATTGTCAGCAGGCATGCTGGCTGGTCTTGTGCTAGTAGTAAAGTTTCTGAAGAATGAAATCCTACCTTAAAGAGCAAAAGTATGGGTAAATCATCTGTAGGATCTTAAAAAGAAATACGTGATACAATGTTCTGTACTGGATCATAATGTTAGCATTGCAGAGTCCTGGATAGAATTAGGCAATGAAAGGATTTTCTCAGTCATCTGATATTTTTGGATTGTAGCTTTGCTAGTCCTTTAAGAATGTTTTTAGGTTTGTTTTTTTTTTTTCCCATTTCGTTTTAAAATAGTTAAAATACATAGTTACCAGTCTGCATGGTGATACTGAAATCTGATAACATAATTTCAAAATGCTGGTGTAGGGGAAACCTCAGTTATTAATATAGGAAAAAACTGTTTTATTGAAACACTTCACATCATTGTCACGAGTTCATGGGATTTTATGTAACTGGTGTAAGGTGGGTGTAATGTTAGTTAAGCGCTCAGTTGTGACAAAGGGTCCTGGAGAGTGTTCACAGGAGGTTTGGGAAGTGACCATCTTGTTCAGAGACCAGCTAACTACATTACTGGAAATGGTCATTTTTCCAGGGTTGGGGCAGGAACCATTTATGTTTGCTGTCATAATTACAGCTGCCCTCCTAGAGAGGCTTCCCTGGCTCATCTGCTGTAGTAAAAGGTAGTTCCGTGAAAACAGGTTGCAAAGCAGAGAAAGTTAGAAACTGGGATTTAGCATTATTATTCCATTTTAATCAAGCTGTAAGTATATGAGACAGTCAAGATTTCTCTTTTGATAGTCAGGATTGTTGAAAAATAGAACAAAATGTCTGTAAGCCCACTGCAGTATTTTCAAAAAAGACTAACCTAGCCCCCCTCTGCTGTGCAATACAGTACCTTAGTCTTTCCAAAATACTTGGTCTCCTTTGAAGACACCATATTCAATGAGTTTCAGTCAGTTCATAGAAATACCATGACTTTTGGTAGCTTGAGATAGATTTTAGAAAATGTAGTTGGACTCATGGTTAATTCTCTAGTGACTGATTCATGAAACTCGATGCAGGCTGCACACTCAGGAGAAGTTAAGTGGGTATTCAGGTGGGCTGAGCTTTCTCTTTCCGCAGCAAGACTCCACCAGCAACCTGATGTAGCTGCCATTGTGCTATTCAGAAGGCACAGCAGTGAAGTGGAACATCGGTGTCCGGTGGCTTGATTTCAGTTCTGCTTGTCTTCTGCAACTGCATATTAAATAGATGTATAGAGTCCTCCTTAGATTTTTCCCAATGGTCTTCAGTTGCCTTTCTACAGTGGAGTACCAAGCAGTGAAAGGAGATGTAAAATACACACTTTTGACTATGAACCTTTAAAGATGAATTAGAGAGGTACTATTTTGGGGGGAAATAGAAAATACAAGAACATAGGTGCCTTTCTCTTACAAAGAGTAAAATGCTAGCTTTAATTTGGTGACATTATTGATGGATTATATGCATACGGTTTATGAAGCTTCAGGTTGTCTGTATGTGCACAATAAAATGATTTGGTGCCATTTTCTTTGTGAAGGTGACTGGATTTGATGAAGAGGAAGAGGGACAGTTTGCTACATCAGAAGATGTGACTGACAGCGTTACTTCTAAGGAAGCAGTTCAGGAGAGTGTGCCACTGAAGACCTCTGAGAAACTGCATGTTTCTGAACCAACTAATGCTTACGACTTCGGTCAGATTATAAATGCAGTGAATGCCAATAAGGATAAAGCTGCTTGTGCAGATCTTTTAACAGTTACTGATCCCAAAAAATTGCCAGTGCTGCTAAGTAACAAACTTGAAGGAGAAATCTTTGTGTTTTTTATCCAGTCATTGGAATATTATGTAGTTGGAAGAGATCCTGGTCTTGTATATCAGCACCTACTCTACTTGAGCAAAGCAGAAAGATTTAAGGTAAGAACCTAGACTGAATGTATACTTAAGTTGCACTGAAACCTAAAGGAAGTTTTCATATCTTAAAAGGAAAAAGTACACAGATTTTGTCTTTGTCAGATACTACGATTTTCAACCAACCTGTGCTAATTATGAAATAATATCTGCTTTTTCAGGTGGTGCTGGCCCTTCTTAGCAAAAACGAGAAAGAACAGGTTCAGCAACTGTTTGATTTACTTTCAGAAAACCAGAATAATCAGTACTCTTCAGAAGATCTCAAGAGCCTTAAAAAGATTTATGAACTTTAAGAAACTAAAATTTATTGGTTGCATGCATATGGTTGATGTTTATAAGATAAGATGGATGTGTGAACTCTGCAGACTTGCATGGGTTGAAGTGGGTCTTTACCCAGGCTGTTTAATTCTATTTTGTTTTGACAGCATATGCACATTTAAAACTTGCTGCTCTTTTTTTTCTTGTAGTTGTATACATTTTTAATCTCCAAAATTTAATACCTATCTTTGTGTTTGGTAACAGAGTTCATGTTATTTGGCATACTGATTTTATTTAGACTGGTTAAATTATATATATATATATAAAACTATATTTTACGTTAGGTATAGAATGTGAAATATTTTGATGGTACGATAGAGAACACACTGTTAGTCATCACTTGTTATATCATTTTATGAGTTGTATGCTCTTGTGATAAAGAAGTGTCTTCAAGCTAAACGGGTCAGTTAGCAATAGCTTTGCTAAAATGAGTTTACAAAAAGTATTAACATTTTTCAGATAAATTACTACAGGCCGCCTGTTTCTTCACTGTCCCCAGTCTATACAAAACAGATTTAAATGTTTTCTTGTGTAATACAGCTTAGCAGCAAAGGTGAATGAATAATATATTAGCTTGTCATGGAAGACTTTGAATCACAACAATTAATTATTAGATAATTATTAAATGGGTATGTTTTTTGACAAGTGAGTAATTTTCAGTGCACAGAGAATTCTGCTTTTCCTGTGTGTGGAAAGACCACTGGTTCCTGTGGCTTCTGAGGCGGCAGCAGTGGGCAGGAGAACAAGCAGCTGCACTTAGCAATAAAAATACTTAACTCCGAGTTCCGTCATCAGATTATTTCCAGCACCAGCTCTTTCTGTTTATACACATTTGTAAAGCCAAAAGTAAAACCATTTTGTGCACCAGTGTGACTTTTAATTTTTTTAATTCCAGGCAGTACTTTTATGTTTTATATTTGAACCTGACAAAGCTCCTTTTCTCAAGATGAAGCTTCTGAATTTTTTAAAATACCCAATGCCTTCTTTGCACATGTGCTATAAATGGCAAACTCACTGGCACTGCAGAGATACCAGTAAGGATGTTGTTCTAAGGAAAATATTTCTCAGGTGTAGATTAACTAAAAAAAAAATAAAGGCTTTTTTTCTTGAACAGTATTAAGTCTAGTTTTTCTTTTCTGGTTCTACACGCCTTAGGCTTGTAAGTCTGACGTGGAGCATGGCGAAAGTAGAGTGCCAAGAACAAGGCTTTTAATTCCTAAGTACTGTCAGTACAACTGACGTTCCTTCTTTTTAAATGTCCTCTTTTTATGAGGTTGGCACGTGTTCAGGAGAGATCAATCACTCATCTCATCAATATGTAACCAGTTGTACTTAACCAGCAAAGGGCCAGTTTCATTCCTCAGTCATGGTGGCAAGGTACTCACCTTCACTAATTTCTGTGTTAGTAATTTTAATCTTTTCATGTTTTCCACTGCAGTTTAGTATGTTCAGAGAAGATTCATTGTATGTGTGCAGCTTACTGACATGGTTTAGAAAACTTAATCCATTTTCATTTAATAGAGTTCAAAGTGGTTTTAATAACAGTAAGTAGCAAGTTGGAGGATTGTATTAATAATACATGGATTAGGAAAAAGTTACTTTGCCGAAAAGAAAGCATAAAAAACCAGCTATGTAGTTTTAATATAGTTTTAGTTGCTTGGAAACCGTAGTTGAGTAAGAGCCAGTGTCAAAAACCACTACATCAGCAAAGCTCAAGATGAAGTATTTTCCATGCCACCCAACCCCCCAAGTATTAAAACCTTTTCAGATACCTTCTAAGAAGCAGTCCTGACTGCTGAAGCTGGTATCTCACATGTATAGTTTGTTTTGATGCTGAAGACAAACATCACAATCTTTGCAGCAGTAAACCATAATAAATAATTTAGCAAATCTAGGAGACAGACATTATTAAAAAGACAAAAGATTTTTAAATAGAGTGTTCTTGATAAATCTTTTATCCATGAAGAAAAAGACAAAGGTGTTTTCACAGATGGGTATACAGTATCACAGTAAAGCTTTAGTCAATCCCTAGCGATTAAACTAGAAACCTAAAAGTCAGGGAAAAGCAGCCCAGAAGTCCAGGAAGATACCTTCTCATGTAATACCTTCCACTTGAATGTCAGCTGAACCAGAGGTTAACTGGGTTTGAGGTAAAAATGGCGGAGATGAGCAGACCAGGAAGCTAAAATTACCCCGTGTTAAGAAGTTCTAGATGAAGAACTGTGGCAGTGCTGGTGGGAGGGAGGCATTGCCAACTGCAGGCAGGGCTCCGTACCCATGTGTGTTGGATGTGGTCAGCAAGAGATGAAATACCAAACATCCCAGGATCCAAAACACCAGCACTTGTGAAGTCACCCATCTTCTACAGCAAAGAGCTGATCAGGCGCGTGTCTGTCTTCACAGTAAAAGAGGGCAGGATTTCCTAGAAAGCTTAAAATTGGCCCTAACAAAATGGATAGGTTTTCACTTTCTGTGTTTCATAAAGCCTGATCTCCTCAGTCTGAGGCAGACCATAACGTTTGTCTGGTTATTTAGACAACTCCCAACCTATGTCAACCACTCTATGGTAGATACCCCCTCTACTAGAGCTTGACAGTGATATTCCAGTATGTTCCCAGACTTCGTTGCATACCAGGAGCTGCTTTTTAAAATCTTTTTTAAGCTCATTCCAGTCATTGATCCTGAAGAGAGAAGACACTTTCTTGAAGTCAGTCATGAGTTCTTGAAGCTGCCACCAGGCCAGATCCTGGGCACCAGCTGCAGCTTGGGGAGGTGTCCGAATTCCCTCCAACACCTTATTCCACAGTGCCTCACTCCACAGTGAACCTCTGACACACAAGACACTGAACAGCCCTTGATGCAGTAATTACGAGTGCCCTGCACTATGAGTAGTAGACACTTAAAGGTTTTAGCTCTACTAAACCTTTACTACATCTATTCTTCAAGTATCAGGTCAGCTGTATTAGCTGCAAGTGTTTTGTGTCTGATGTTCCTCATACCTGTCTCAACTAGGAACTTTCGGTCTCAGCTTCCAAAGTTAAAGAAATATATGAACTACAAGGAAGTAATGAAGAAACTGAAACATTTCTTGGTTTAACAGCTGAAAGACTAAGTCAAATATGTATTTCTTAAGTAAGGTAGCAACTCTCAAATGTAAGAAAAGTGGCCCAGTTTGTCAGATGAGCTGTTCGTGTGTACCACCACCACTGGGCTAGCTGTGGCTGCAGTCATTTTGGTGATGGTCCTGCCTCATTCAGATTTCATTGAGATTGGCTGCTTGGTTCAGAGTGGGACCAGGAGGGCCAGACTGACAGAATGATTTCTAGAGACATAGAACTTACCAAAAAAGTCAACTCCAACATTGAAGTTGGAGTTGAACAGATCAAGCTGAGACCACCAGGCTTCAAAACCTGCCCCTTCTGTAGAGCAGCATTAGACTGCGGGAAGTAGTTTGGGGGACACAGGTGGTGGAAAGGAATACTTCCAGGTGTTGATGTCCTAAAACCACTGATTTGGCAGGTAAGGGCTGTCTAAATGTCTCCCTTCTGGTTTAATCTGGGGAACCCTCACGGCTAGAGGGAGGAATCGCTGCAGCCCTGAACAGCTGACACCTGTTTTGAAACACTCCTGCCTTTTAAACCTGGCTGTCTCCACTCTGCCCTCAGCAGTTACTTACCCTCTTTCATCTCCCTCTGCCCTCCGTAAGCAGCATGTCTCCTGCTGGCTTGCTGGGTTGAGCTGCTCTGCCAGGCACAAGTATGACCATGGCTGTGCTCTGCCTCAGCACTGGGTCGGGTGGCTTGATGCCTGGTTTCAGAGTACACAGGGGCCCAGAAACTACAGAGTGGACAAAACAGCACTGAGGGGAGAGAGGGTGCGGGGCTGGGGGGCAGGGTCTGTTTTGTTTTACTGGTATTGGGGTTTACATCCTAAGAATAAAGCATTTTCTTTTCAAAAGAGAACAAGAGAATCTAAATGACATACCTGGCTTTGTGATGGGGAAACCCAAACTGCAGCTTGTCGCACACTCCTCAGCAACCTCACTCACCCCACCTCTAAAAAAACCCAAACCAACCAACCAAACAGCAAAGCCAACAATACAAAAACCTGCCTCAGGAGAACACTGGCCTTTCAGGTGATGGGAACAGGCCAGTGAAGCATGGTACCACAGTGACAAGCCACCAGCCCCAACACAGCAAGTGGCAGAGTGAAGATGTCCTGGATGGGTAAGCTAACCAGGCGCACAGTGATGGGTTTGCACATGGATACAAACCCTGTTTTTAACACAAGAGGAGGCAGGAAGTTTCTGTAACCACCAGAGAGATGGTTGGTGGCCTGCTGGGGAACCAGGGTTTCTGGACTGCTGTTTTCATCCCATCAAGATACTTCCGAAATCCACAGAGGAGCAGCTCCAGGTGGAACCGCTGTTGTCACCCAAAGAGGTGCTACAGGGGATGAGCATCGTCACAGCACAGTTGTGTCACTGGCCAAAAAGCTGGTTTACTGCAGATCGCTCTCCACCATTCCCTTCCGATCTTCCCACACAGCAGGGCAGGCAGCAGAAGCCTGTGAGAACCCAGTTACTGGCAAACCACACACTTTGCTCTGACATGGGAAGTCTTTTTCCACTCACCAGAACCTCCTCTGATTTATGTAACCCAGTTGTGCAACTACAGAGCTACTCCCTGTGGCTGCCAGAGGCTGCAAACTGAAGTGTTCGCACTTGTTCATTACAATAAACAAAACAGATATTTGTGAGCAGCAGGGAACAAGACTCCTTTCCCACTAGCACATGGAGATGTATGACCTGAGTCAGGGGAACTGCTCACTGCAGCTATCAAGGACGAAGGGCAGGCAGCTCGGAGCAGGTTCAAACCTCGATGCCTGGCTGAAGTAGCATTAAACACCACCTGTCCATGAGCGCTCCCTCACTGACTGGGGCTCTGCCCGTGCGGTGCTGTTTTCCTACCCACAT